CCCTTACCAGAAGAGGCTAGGGTCCCCGCTGAAAGAGCAGCGTTTGCTGAGAGGTGGGTAACTCACCATGGACTGCCCACTTCCATAGTCAGTGACAGAGATCCACGATTTTGCAGCGGTGAATGGCAGTCTTATTGTAAAGACTATTTGCATTCACGTTTGGACATGACTTATGGTCACCATCCTGAAGCCAATGGACAGGCTGAAGTGATGAACCAGGTCTTGTTCCAACTGCTGCGTCATGTTATCGCTCCAGATCAGCAAGACTGGGATCTCCATCTGTCTCGTGTACAGCTTGTATACAACACCCCAGTCCACTTGTCAATCGGGTTCACTCCTTATCGGTTACACTGGGGACGTGAACCACGACAGCCTTTTGATGATCTCATCAACGAGTCACGATCTGATCTGACTCGTGGAACTGCTGAGTTCGGTAGGCGGTACAGAGTAGATGTGGAAAGGGCACATGCCAACTTGTTCAAAGCCCAAAAGGTGATGATTGAACAAGCTAATTGACACCAACGTCCTTCCCCCATTCGTAGCCAGTTCAGAGTTGTCGAGGGAGGAGGATATCTCTCCCAAGTTGTTGCCACGTTACTTATGTGCAAGTCCTAGATATAGTGGGCTCCGATCCTTTAAGCCCGTCATACGTAATTGACATCCCGTTGCATCTGCAGACGTATCCGGTCTTCCATGCATATAAGCTGTTGCCTTTTACATCAGCTGATGCATTCCCTGACCGGCCCCCTCAATTTGGACCACCTATACCTGGTCGGGGGTATGAGGTAGCGTCAATTGAGGATGAGTGGGGCACCAGCCCCGATCGGCTACATCTTGTGAAGTTTTCCTTTCAGCCTCATTTTGAGGACCGTTGGTTTACACGAAAGGAACTTCTTAAGACAGCAAAGTATGTGGTTTTACGGTACGAGGCGGCTCAAAGGGATTACTCCCTCGCCGATCCCCTCGATTACGCCCTTAGCTAGGAGGTCCTCGCTCCCCAGGGGGGTAAGCCCACAATTACTTGCTGATTTGACTGTTGGGTTCTAACTGCGAGGTTGTACAGTACGTCGGCAGGGTTAGATCCGGTATTTTGTCTGGGAACTAACCGCGAGTTCAAACTAAGGGGAAATTTGTCAAGGACATATCTGTAAACTTGGGAAAACTACGGGCCCAAGCAAATTCGAATTTCCTATAGTCTCCTAGTGCTGCGACTAGCAGACCCGGACTATCACTAGGACGGGAGGCCCTCGTGGCCTTGGCCCATAGCAGCGGTCCTAAAGCCTATAGCCGGGTAGGAAAAGGCCCAGAGGCCAAAACTGAAACGGTACCGGTCAGTCCAGTCTTCAGTCTAGGGTAGGTCTATTAATAGGGGGTCGTCGGTCTAGTAAGGACTTTTGGCAGTTTTACTTCGCGTGCGACGTAGGAGTTGAGCCAAGGAAGGTGACGATTGACTACGGGCGGCATCCAGAGTCTCTCGTTGGAGACAATAGCCATAGCCAAACTCTAAGAGCCCGCGGCAGCTGGGGCATCCTCTCAGCACTCACCCTTGAGGGTGTCTACGATTGTCTAGGCTATCAGGAGGCTCTACATTGCTGTTTGTGGGTGGACCACTGCTGCTGCCGCTTCTTCGGTGATCGCAGTGGCAGAGACAATGGAGCTGCAGCCATAGCTGCAGCTTCATCGGCACTGAGGACTTCATCGCCGGTCTTGTTCTTCATCTTGCGGGTTGGCGCTGGCCTCTAGGAGGTGGATTCTGTGCAGCGCTACTAACAAGGTGGTAGAGTGAGAGTGGAGTGTGAGGTTCAGTGATGGCAATACGTTGAGGAAGACTCTGTAACGGTTATTGTTCAGATTGGCTCAAACTTGGTTTTGTTCTGTTGTTATCCTCAAAGTGTCTTCTTATGATTGGTTGTTGGGAGTATCATCAGAGAGTGAGAAACAGTGTGTTGTCCCCACACTCTGTGCATAACTGTTTTCCGCTGCTTACTCTGTCTGTGTGCAGTGTGTACTCTGTCTCCTCTCCCCTTCTTCTTATGCATGTATGGGCATGTGTGAGATTGTCTGAGTGTGAGTGTTGAGTGAAATCGACAGACAACCAAAATCATAACGGGTTTTTCATAGGTTTTTTGGGTTTGTATCACGTGTAGGACCCAGGAGGCCACTGACTCATTTTTGGTACCTTCACTTCTGCCATTTTTTGCCAGACTCCTGCGTTTGAGCGCCAGACTTTTCGTGAAGTTGCAGAATAATAAAATATATAAGTTGCAAACAATCAATCAACCAATCAATCAATCAATCAATCAATCAGTCAACCAATCAGTCAATCAATCAGTCGATTAATCCATCAATCAATCAATCCATCATTCAATTAATTTGAGATCAAGATGACAAGTTGATGGGCAGATCCTTGTCTTGAGGTCTGCTCCGACACCAGCCAAGAGCGACGACTTCCCGGGGCCGGCGATCGCAAGACCCTCCTTCCATGGATGGTCACCAGGAAGTTGATCGGGTCGTCACACACCGCACGTATGGCAATAAGCCAATGCAGTACAAGGTCACCTTCAAACAGTACGACGGCGATGACACACGATGGATTTCACGAGCAGACTTGCAAACTTCCGCACCTCATATTTGCAAACTACAAGAAGCAACAACTAGCCAAGGAGGCTTCCCAACCTGCCCCTCCCACCCGGATTTCGGACCCTCCCTCCGATAGACAGCTTCGCCCCAGGTAGGCTCGGTCTTTCAAGGAGGAGGGGGGGGGTGACATACTCAGTTCCACACAGGCCCCACAGGGCCTGACAATAGGGTTAGGGATTTTTTGTAGGGTTTTAGGATCTGTGTCATGTGTAGGACCCAGTAGGCCACTGACTCATTTTTGGCACCTTTGCTTCTGCCATTTTCGCCAGACTCCTGCGTTTGGGCACCAGACTTTTCGTATCTTCGCCTGGTCCCTACTTTTTGCCATTTTTTGCCAGACTCCTGCGTTTGGGCAGCAGACTTTTTGTATTTTCGTTTTGGAGCCAGAACAGACTCCTGTTCTTGGCGCCAGACCAGTTTTCCTTTCGACCAGACTGTTTCCTTTCCGCCTAGGACACTAGGCCCAGCTTTATATATAGCTGGGCCGACCTCATTCTAGGCAGGTAGGCTGGCAGTTCACTGAGGTAGTGCTAGGCGCTTCTCAGTGGTAGCTCTGAGGTAGTAATGAGTAGTCTTCAGTTGTCGACGCGCTGGGCACAGTTAGAGTAGTCTACAGCGCCGAGCGCGAGCTAGGAGTTAAGCGCTGCCGCTGCGCTACAGCGAGAGAGAGAGAGAGAGAGAGAGAGAGAGAGAGAGAGAGAGAGAGAGAGAGAGAGAGAGAGAGAGAGAGAGAGAGAGAGAGAGAGAGAG